CCTCCCTTCCAACTCCTACCATTCCATGATTCTGTGATTATCAGGTAACTGTTCCTCAGCTAAAGAAGCAGTTAATAGACCTGGACAGCACTAGACTTGGTCATAGACAAACTCCATCAACACCAGCTCTCAAAAACTTTTCTTAACACAAAAGACTTGAGCAAGGATTTTCTCCTGCTCTTAGTGATGCTAAATCCAATCATTTAATACATCCTCCCTCCAAGTAAACTTTGTAGTAGGAGCTGATTTATCCTTCGGGGGGAAGCAAATGAATTGTGTTATTTTGATACAGAGTCTCTGAATTTAACAGTTCCTCAGCAAAACCAAGTAGTGAGAATAGGTCATCCTTTAGGAGGATGGTTTAATGATATAAAAAGAAGAAATTGGCAAGCCTTCCAGAAGATCTATTATAGATTAGCTAAAAATAATTTTTCTGAACTAACATCTCAAGCTCTTGTGTGGTGAGAGCACAATCCTTTGTTCTCCTGGGAGATGGATGGGACAGAGCGGTCAGATAAGTCTATGTTCCGAGATTAATGTCTGGGAAGGTCTTTCCCTCTCCCTGACATTGGAAGGGACAGGACTGCACTACCAGTCACAGCACTTCAGCTTTACAAAGCAATCCCCGCCCAAAAGCATCAGGCCCAACTCCAGGGATCTTACCATTCAGACAATGAAAGAGGAAACCTTGGGCCTACAAGAAAACTGGGGAGGGACTTTGGCCAAGGGCAGGAAGCGACAGAACAAGGGGTGATGGCTTGAAAGTGTCAGAGGGGAGATGGAGCTGAGATGTGAGGAAGAAATTCTTTGGTGTGAGGGTGTTGAGACACTGGCCCAGGTTGCCCAGAGAAGCTGTGGCTGCTCCTCCCTGGCAGTGTTTGTGGCCAGGTTGGATGAGGCTTTGAGCAACCTGGTCTAGTGGAAGGTGTCCCTGCTGATGATAGGAGGGGTGGAACTAGATGATCTTGAAGGTCCCTTCCAACCCAAACGATTCTGTGATTCTATTTCAACTTTATAGCTCTAAAAATGCTAAGAAGCTTGATTACTTACCCCTAAAACTCATTATTTTATCCTACAGTTATTGTCAGAGCTTGCTCATGCCTCACATTTTCAGCCAGAAGTGAAATGTCATCATTTACATTCCCATGCACACAAGTCCAAGTTGTGCCGAGTACTTAAGGTCATTGCACTAGGAAGGGCAGTATTACACAATGCCATTTTAGAAGCTGATTCTGCACATCTCATATTAGTCATCACTTGAACCAAGAACTAAATGATGAATGGGTCCTGTGGGATTACATAAGGCAAGTCTACAAGTCTTCATGTATATCTTCAAACTCTGGGCATCAAGGTCACCAACTAATCCCAGCTTCAGAGCACAGAGGAGCAGACCTCACTTGAGATACATCAGCTGGATCTGAAGATGAAAACCCCATTTCCTTCAGCAAAGCTACAGCTCTCCCTGACCATGTTTCCTTTGAAAAGCTCAGGCTATAGAATCAGACTGGTTTGGGTTGGAAGGGACCTTAAAGCTCATCCAGTTCCAACCCCCCTGCCATCAGCAGGGACACCTTCCACTAGACCAGGTTGCTCAAAGCCTCAGCCAACCTGGCCTTCAACACTTCCAGGGAGGAGCAGCCACAACTATGCTTGCTGCTCCACAGGACAGAAACCTTCATACTTCTCTCATTCTCCACACCAAGGCTCACTGATTACAGAGCCCTCTGGCTAACAGGGTGGCACAGATTTATGCTCAGCCATTTCACACATGTTATCAGAAGATTATGCCTGCTCACGGCACTGAGCGTTGAAATCCTTCCTCCAGGAAATGCAGCAAGACAGGCAGACAAGTGGCAATTGCTAAATTGTCCTCTTTAGCACATTTACACAGTATATAGGATTTTCTGGCCATCTCCT